GATCAATTTTAGTTCATTGGTAAAAGGGAGCTGTAGGCTTGAGAATGAGGGTGTACGGTCGTGTTTTGTGCTTCGTGAACTGCCACTTCGCTGCACACTTGGAGGCCGTTGGGCGCCGTAATTCTGATTTTGATCATGTGTATCGAGGAATGGTCTTCAGTCGGCCATCTAGCTTTCCCAATGCTGCTGCTGGTATAGTGCCACACCTACTCTCATCTTCCTTGCTTGCCTGGTTGGCATTTTTGATATGGCGTGTTTATGGTTGTCGCTTTCTGTTCGCGCTTTCTGTTGCAGCTAGTGTCTCATCTGTGGTTCAAATGCTACGTGGTAGCAATGTATGTACATAAATTCATAACATAACATTGGGTTAGTAGTCCATTATCTGTTATAAATTTATGGTTGTCATCAATGAAAAGATGAATATATATTCTAGCAGGGAGCAGTTAACTCTTTAGAAGCCATACCAGAGCTATCTGAAGCCGATATGGTTGTCTTTCTTGGTGATTTCAACTATCGTCTTGATGGAATATCGTATGATGAAGCAAGGGATTTTATCTCTCAGAGGTCTTTTGACTGGCTAAGAGAAAGGGATCAGTTGCATAAAGAAATGAAGGCTGGTAATGTCTTCCAAGGAATGCGTGAAGCAGTGATCAAATTTCCTCCTACATATAAATTTGAAAAGCATCAACCTGGTTTAGCTGGTATGTCAATATGTAATAGCTCTATTTTTATCTGTGTATTGTTCATTAATCACTTTTTGGTTTAATCTCAACTTTATTGGGTTGTGCTTGAATTTCTGGACCGGTTGAAATTTGTCTTTAAAGGGTATGATTCTGGGGAGAAGAAGCGCATTCCTGCCTGGTGTGACAGAATTTTGTACCGTGATTGCCGTACCTCTTCAGTTTCCACATGCAGCTTAGACTGCCCTGTAGTATCTTCAGTTCTGCAGTGAGTTCTCTATAAGTTGCCTTGTTTCAGCATTCACATCATTGGGCTATGAATCACCTTGTGACCTATTGGCTGTATTACAAGTGATCAGTTTCTCATTTTACAGTTTTTTGTTTCTATTCATTTTTTCTAGATGCTGATTTTATAGGTACTTGTTAGACTAATAGCACTATTAACATCTAATATAGTGTAATCTCCATCTAAAAAAAGGTCTTGGTTCAAGAACATTTATTTCTATAAAAAAAAGTTTGGTCTTGAGAGTCAACTTTAGATAAGCGGTTTTGGTGCATTATTACTCCAAAAAACTGATCAATAAGCAGCATTAGAGGTTTAAATTACCATTAACATCTTTAATTGTGCCAAGATGGAGTTGATTAAAAATTAAAAGCAATACCTTACTCAAGCATGACTCTTTTTTTGTGGATAAGGGTATTCCATCTCACCAAATGGAGTGATTCTATGGTGGACCTAAGGTCCACATGGACCTTCTCACATTTTTTTTTATTTTAAAAATGCATATTTCAACACTTGAAAATGCTTATTTAGCATATATGAAGGTTCACCATGGACCTCAAGTGCATGTAATAATTTGCCCACCAAATGACACCTAAGTTCATCTTCATCAATCGAGACTATGGGACTCAAGAAGTGATCATAAACCTCCATGCAGAATCATGCATTTTATATTTTGGCCTCTACGCTTATTATCAACAGGATTAATTTGTTACTAGGTATGAGGCTTGCATGGATGTGACAGACAGTGACCATAAACCAGTACGCTGCATATTCAGCGTTCAGATTGCTCGGATAGATGAATCTGTGAGACGGCAAGAGTATGGAGAGATCATGAGATGTAACGAGAAGATAAAGTCGTTGCTGAAAGAAGGGTTTGAAGTTCCTGATGCAATTGTCAGCACAAACAACATAATCCTCCAAAACATGGACGCATCCATCTTGCGCATCACAAATAAGTGTGGGAAGGGCATAGCCATGTTTGACATAATCTGCGAAGGCGAGACAACTGTTAGGGATGATGGGCAAGCTTTTGACCATCGTCCACGAGGTTCTTTTGGTTTCCCCAGGTGGCTTGAGGTAAATTCTTGCAATTAAGCAGAGATACTTCTTTCTAATCCTATTAACTGCTTTCATGCCTTTATGTTATACTCACAGCAAGTTTGAACAAATATGTGACATATATCTAGAGCTTGATCAGATTTTTCAATTCCCCCCAAGTTTTGTTTCCTCATTATGTTATTCATCTAGTAATCTCTGTTCTCAAGATGGAACCGTGATGTTTAACTACTACACAAACAGGTAAGCCCGGTTACTGGGATAATTGAACCAGATCAGATTACTGAAGTCATAGTTCATCACAAGGATTACCAGACGGTAGAAGAGTTTGTAGATGGGGTCCCGCGAAACTGTTGGTGTGAAGATGCAAGGGACAAGGAAGTGATACTTGTAGTCCATATCCGCGGCGGCTGCACCACTGAGATGAGGTGCCACCGCATCCGTGTCCGCCACTGCTTTTTAGGCATCAAGATTGCCCCTCAAAGTAACAGTAACAGAAGCTCCGGCGACTCTAATAATAACCTTTTCCGGGCAGATGTCCTCCACCGAGCTGATATTCAACACCTTAGCTTCTCATCAGATGTTTTTGAGCAGCTCAAGAGCATTCAAAGTCCTTAAGGGGTGTGGTGCTGTTTTTTTGTGTCCCACACATGTGAGACATACATTATTGTTTGTTCATATACTGCAGCATTTCTGGGTTTATTGATTTTTTTTGTTGATATGTCAATTGCTCCAAGCCTGTTTGTAAGTTCATTTAGTTTTTTATTTGTTTATTTATAGGGAAAGTCCATTTTGTTTTACATACTCCAACTTTGTGTATAGAATTATGCTTCATATATGGGTTTTAATTATTTTTTTAAAGGATGGCTTCCGCACATCAACGAAGCTTAGATGTAGTAACACGAAAGGCGTGTTTTTAAAACCATAAGTTCATTACTCCCGCACCTCTATGAGACATATCGTAACCACGGGGCATCACGACATTTGTAATTTTAAAACTCACAAATTGTTGACAACCACAAAAGTCAAAGAAGAACACTTATTTGTAATTCAACTCGTCTCAAAAACTTCATTCTCTAACAAAACAAAATGAAACCTATTTATCGGTCTAATTAAGACTAAGTTACAAACTTTATTTTTTTTTGAAGATTACAAACTTTATTAAATAAATAAAAATTACAAGTATCAAAACTAAATCCCAATAAATATCTATCATGATTGTTTCTTCCAAGGTGTTGTCCTTCATCTTCCATGCCAGGATTAATTTATTTTATCCAAATTTATTTTCGTAATTACCATATGATGACAATTATAATTATCTTGATATATTTGTTTTTCAAATACATAAATCAAATCTTTCTTGAATTGGCTTCAGTCCCCAAAACATAGATATTGATTAAAATGAAAAAGTTATGGGGATGGAAGGAAACCACATAACCTTAAGTTGAATCCTAATGATAAAGAATGACCGTTTACAAGGAAATAAATTTTTGTAGGGGCTAAATCCAAAACTATTTGGAGGGACTGGTCAAAGAAAAATTATACGGAGTAAAACATAGGCTTTAACAAGCATCCTAGTGGCAAAGAAGGACCATTTACATGAAAATGTATTATTATAGGCATGAAAAAATTTGAAAAATTGAAAAGACTTAAAAAAACACACATTTTTTGAAGAGACTAAAAGTATACTTTCTCTATCCCAAAAATAATGTTACAGTTACTATTTTGGTCGTCTCAATAACTTTTATTAATTTACTCGTTTTCGATGACCATCTGATGAAATAAAATATTTTTTCCTGCATCTTGTTTTGTAAAATTTTGATATACTTTTGAACAGTGTAATTCATATTTTTTATATCTCTACCAATTCATAAAAAAATAATCTCAAAAGAGATTATATTTTACACGTTGTTCGAAATATGGTAAACAATTTGGACAGATGGAGTATGAGGTATTTAACCTTTTTTTGAAGATATGTGGAATTTTTGAAGTTAGGTAGAATTAAGTGTCAGGTGTATGAGTTATGCTAGGGGACACCAAAAGTTTGGCACGAAGTATCTATTTCACAGACGCATAGAGACAATAACTATTTGTGATTGGACATAATTATTTTCTGTGTAAGTCTTTGAGAAACTTGATGTCAAAATAGTATTATTTTTTTTGTGTCCTTCATGCATTTAGTTATGGTCTGTGTATAAAAGATGGATGTCAAAATGATTTAAGTGTTCCTTAAACAGTTTTCTATGGAAGAGCCCCATCGCCAAGAGTCCCTCAGAACTAGTCAGACAATCACTCGAGAAAAGGTAACGAGCTATAATCATAGATTTGTTGACAAGGAGTGAAAACATAAACTTGGTACTTACGAGGATTTTATGTTTAGCAAAATTGTCTCTAAACACATTTTCTAAAAATGGAACTTGGGTTTGTCACTTTAGACAACCTTGCTCAACCAGCTAAACTACGTCCATGAACAAAAATTTGGGTAAAGATCCATCGAAATGGGTAGCCTTAACTGGATGTGTGGTAACAAGAAAAGCACAAAGGCCAGACTCGTCCCATTCGTGTCCGAGGAGATGCCAACTATCCCTCTTTTCCACGAATACTCAAGCATAAAATATTGAGCAATGCTAGGGGTACAATTCCTCCTTTGGTGTACCCCATTTGTCCCCCACCTCCTTCTCCACCATATAATTTTATTTCATTTTTAATTATTTATTTATTTTTAAGTTTTTTGCTCATTTATGTGGTGGAGGAGGGGGTGGGGTCTCCCACTCCTTGCATTTTTCTAAAATATTCGCTAGAGGTACCTCTAGAATTGTACACCAAGACATACACAAATATAATGTCTTCATCTGAACAAACATAAAATATTGTATTCATGTTTGATATACAAAATGTGGTATAATTGCGGGGATACCAAAGTAATTTTCCATATGCGAGTAAGTGCTAGGTAGTTAGGTACATCTCAAGTCCCAACTACCCTGCATTTGTGGAGAGCTCAAACGAGTGACATGCCAATTTCGTGCTCCCCCCAGTCCCACTGCTCTCCGCACTTCTTACAACAGAGAACTGTAAGTGCTGCGAGAATCGGGAGAGATGAGCCCTACCGCGCGCGATTGCGACGCGGCGGTGGCCGGAGAGAACAGGCAGGTCATCTTCAAGGGATACATCGAGGGAATTCCCAAGGAAACGGACATGGAGCTCGTCACCGGGAACCGGCCGGTCAATCTGCCGGACGGCGACGGAGGAGCGATTATGATCGTGAAGAATCTATACCTTTCCTGCGATCCTTACATGCGAGGCCGAATGCGCGACTTCCGCGGCTCCTACATCCCTCCTTTTCTCCCTGGTTCGGTAGGGTTTCTTTCCCCCTGCTTTCTCCGTCTCTTTAAAAAATCTTGTCTGGAGCTGGTTTGGTGCCGGGTCAAACTAGTAAAATCGAATTCAACTTTCTTTCATAGCGTGTGTTTTGTTTGCTTGTGTGTGTGAAATTACAAATTAAAAATAGAATAGAGTAAGAAATTACTCCCTCCCTACCACCGTATTTTATCCCATTTTACATTTTTTGTCCATTCCAAAAATAAGGGAAGAAGTACTCTTCATTGTCCCAAAAATAAGGGAAGTACTCCCTCCGTCCCAATTTGAATTGCCTTTTTCGGTTTACGATGTTTGGCTGAAGTTATTTTCAAATCATTTTATATAAAAAACAATGTCGAATTAAAAAATAAAAATTACATATTTAAAAACTGATCTTTAAAACTAGTGGTGACATGACTACGTTATTTTATCAAATGACTAACGAAAATAAAGAAAGAAAGTGAATGAAATTTGACCATATGAATTGTAAACAAGCAATGTAATTTAGGACGGGGAGAGTACTTTTTTACACAACACTTGGGAACTCTTTTCTCATCAACCAATATTAGAATCAAGTGCTGCCAACTCCAAGAATGAGACAATTCAATTGACAATATCATATCCCACGAGTGCGGTGTGAGGTGTGCATGTGGTAAGTGACTACTACAATGAAAAGGTTAAGTTGATGTTTAGAGTAGGGAAAAGTTTTATACTTTAACATAAGTCTTGGGAATGCTTTTAAGACTTGAAGCCTAAGGCTCCTTCATATTTTGCACCATTCAACCAAAATCTTAAGAGGATGGCTAGAGGCTAATAAAGTGTTTTATATTCCAACATACATAGGCTTTACCCCTTTCCTATAGGATGTAAAAAGTTTGAATTAAAAAAAACATGACATAAATTCCATCTGTAGTAATATAAAATTGTATTTTAAACTCATTTTATGTTTTGAAACCTTTTTTTGTAACAGAAAGTACTAAATTTCATAATCACCAAAAGAACACAACATCAGTTCTTTACACAGAAAGAGATTATCAGTAGACTACTGCCAATCACCAGACAAACTAAGTTTAGAGTTTGTATAATGCTTCACTTGGTGCTGAATGTAGTAGGTTACACAATCGTCCACTTTACTCCCCTTCTGGTAGATTTTTGCATCTAGCCTACCAAATCGAGTAGCAAACATCAGCGGATCAGCCCAGGCAGCAAGCAATCCAAGCATAGTTCCCCTCTGTTTCTTGCTAGTAATATTCTGTTCCAAATTCTTGTGAACTGGTTGAGTTGTTATTGTGCTTTAGCCAAGCACGGACTCTGTTCTCTGTTGTACAGTTCCTTAGCAAAGGAACAATCCCATAATAAATGATTATTGTCTTCCCTGTTCAGGCAAACGGGTGATACAAAGACAGACCTATCTCCATACGTTTGCTGATTCTACTTCTGGTTTGGAATCTGTCTTTCATAAGTAACCAGAACATAAACTGATTTTTTGGAATATTAAGTCTTTTCCTAACCATTTTAGTCCAGGCAGGTGCTCCTTTATCCCAAAGAAGCCCCAAATATCTTTTCATAGGATCATATCTTTCACTAGTAGGCATGTCAGCAAACTCCCCTCTTATTTGGACAATTTTTCTCTCAAGAATAGCAAGCATCATATCTGGGGATGTATTCCCAAATATTAGAAGTTTTCATATATCTACTATATAACCCTTTTCCTTTTTAAAATATAGATGAATGCATAAGTCTCACTTTCAGTTTTGCCCAGGCCTCAGGCGCGCAACTCGGTATCAAGTGAGGGCATTGCCACTTATGTTAGAATATAAAAAACCTTTCCTGTGCCACAACAACAAGCTTGAGCTTTTGGTTGGGTTGGTTTCTTGACATGGTATCGGAGCTTTGTTGACTAAAAGGTCACGGGTTCGAAACTCAACGCCACCCAATTTTAAAAATTTAAGATTTCACTACACCTGCATGTGAGGGGGCGCTTTTAGAATATAAAAAACCTTTCCTGGGCCACAACCACAAGCTTGAGCTTTTAGTTGAGTTGGTTCTTTGGCAACTTAAACTTGCAATTTTTTAGTTCAAATGAGAGTAATGTCTAAGGAGATTTTGTAATGAACATCGGTCAAACACATTTAAATCTGTACTCTCAAGGCTCGAAATGCAATTATTATCACTTTTCACCTCTGTAAACTAGTCAAATAGAAGCTGAATTGCCTTCAACAGACCTGCACTGTTGATTAATTTGTCACATATACTATGTTAAATATTAAAAGGTTATTGAAGGATTTGGGGTGTCCAAGGTTATATCTTCAAGCCATCCAGATTATAAGCCGGGTGAGTTGATCTCTGGTTTCACCGGTTGGGAAGAGTACAGTTTGATACGCAGGACCGATCAGCTCAGGAAAATTCAGACAGACAGTGATATCCCGCTCTCCTGCCATATTGGCCTCCTTGGTATGATGCAACAAATTCAATATACATCACAGATTGTCACTATATAAAAGGAGAATTTGTCTTCGCCCCCCATGTTTTACCCTCATATTTTTTCTTTGGATATCATGTTTTGTTTTCTTAGTATGCACCAGAACTTCACATGGTATGGTGCAAAGTCAATCACAACTTTTGTGTAAAAACTGGGTCCTTTTTATTAACGAGAAAAATGTTTTAGATATGATTTTTTATGGGATGCGAAGATCAATTTTTCCACTATATATAGCTGATCTTAGCTTGCATAAAGATGAATGAACGAGAATCTTGCATAGGTATGCCTGGTTTTACAGCTTATGCTGGATTTTATGAGGTCTGTAAACCGAGAAGAGGTGACTACGTTTTTGTCTCGGCTGCCTCTGGGGCAGTGGGGCAGCTTGTTGGGCAACTTGCCAAGTTACATGGATGCTATGTTGTGGGGAGTGCAGGGACAAAGGAGAAAGTAAAATTTGTTTACATGTATTTCAAATTTTAAGAACTTTGATTGGTCTCTTTAACCGTCATCCTCACAAGTAAGGTCTTATGATGCTTTGTTAGGTCAATCTTCTAAAAGAGAAGCTGGGATTCGATGATGCGTTTAACTACAAGGAAGTTACAAACCTCGATTCTGCTCTAAAAAGGTCATATCACTGTCTTTAACAAATAGGAACGTTTGGTTCACTTCATGTTCTCTCAAGAATTACACATTACCTAAAGGATTTATACATGATGTTTGGTAATGTAATATGAGATTCTATGGAATTGCTTTTTAGTTCATTTTTTATCTCACTCCCCCAACGTCACAACCCCCCAAATTGGTAATGTGAGATTCTAATTAGGTACTCCATAATATGAGATTATATGATCTCGCGCATAACTTCAAAATAGTCCAATTATTTATCTTTTTATTCAAATTTGGTTGAAGACGTTAAGTCAAGAGAAATTCTTAGGGTTTCAACCATGCATCATTTTAAAAAATACTCCGTATAAGACTAATGGTTGTACTCTTTTGGAAGTTCGAGGAGAAAACACGCACTTTTTGAAATGCATAGGGACTTGTGATGCACTTTTGAAAGTTCAAGGGGAAAACATGTACTTTTTAAAGAGTTCGGGGGTAAAGTACGCACTTTATTAAAAGTATGGGGACTAAATGACACAAAAAATATGCATTTTATGAAGAGTTCAGGAGTAAACGACGCAAAAAACTTTAAAAGTAATACAGTTGTACACCCTTTTTTACAGTAACCAATAGTAAAAGAAAAACATGACCCCCCCACCCCCTCCCTTACTGTGTTTTGCTGAAACAGCTGCTTCCCGGAAGGAATTGACGTTTACTTTGACAACGTGGGAGGCTCCATGCTGGATGCAGCACTTGGCAACATGAGGCTTCATGGCAGGATAGCTGTTTGTGGGGTTGTGTCTCAGCAAAGCACCTCTCATGCACATTACAATCTGTTCAACCTGATCACCAAGCGGATCAGGATGGAGGGATTTCTGCAGAGCGATTTCCTGCACTTGTTCCCCAGTTTTGTTGAAGATGTCACGCGTCTGTACAAACAGCACAAGATTGTGTACGTTGAGGACGTGAGCATCGGGCTGGAAAGTGCTCCTGCTTCTTTCGTCGGCCTCTTTTCTGGGAAAAATGTGGGCAAACAGGTCATTCAAGTTGCCGAAGCTTAACACTACTGTTTTTCATATGGGGTACCTTTTCTTGAGCTTTTTGCATTGAAGAATGGCTTGTAAACAACTCTAGTATCTGCAAGCTCATCTTGAAAGCTTTTTTAAAGGTTTGAAACTCGAACGTGAAGTTTGGGAATTGCTTAGAACTCATTTCTTTCACTTGAGACTTGTTGTAGCCTGTAGGACAGTAACAAATATGGGTGAGTGGCTGCTTTTCTACTCTCCGAAAAATAATAAGGGTAAAACCTGAAATTAATAGTTGTTGAGCTTTATTTCGAACTTCCATCCACTATGAGGAGGAAAATATTTAAGTGGGTCATGGTCATGAATGCAGAACGTATCTGAACAAGTACCAAACCAATCTCGAAATTTTCAGAAAAAATTGAGATTACCAAACCAAAAAATACCAAACTGATAAAATACCAAAAAAAAACCGTACAATACCGAACCGACTGATCGGTTCGGTATTTGGGATCCGTACGAGGTAACTTCCCATATTGAAAAATCTTGAACCGAAAATATATACGAATATGTTGTAAAAATAATAATGTTTTATATTTTTCTTTAAATAATAAATTGATATTTGAAAGTTGGTTCAAGTGTAGATAGTGAATTACAAATAATCATTTATTTAAAATTTATTTTTTGTAGATGAATATATAAAAAATTAACAAACATTTGAAATACTATTTTGTTATCATTTGCTCTATTTTTTTTGAAATACAATGTATAAATTAAACTAAGTTTTATAAGCATTTCTTGAATTTAACTATTCATTTTACAATTTTTATCTTTCTTTATTCCAATGTACTTTTAATTTTTTAATGAAAGAGTTTTTACATTTCAAAGTGTAAATTAGGTACCTATATACAGTACATTTATTCCAATATTTATTGAAACCAAAACTGAACCATCACGAATCGATACTTTGAGATTGGGATCGGTACATTGTAACATATCGAACCAAAATACTATCATTATTAACATGTTTAAATGTGGGTACAAGGTGTTTCCAAAATACTATCATTATTAACATGTTTTAAATGGCAAATTGCCATACATCTCTAGTTTGAATTTAACTAGTAAAAAATGTTACTCCCTCCGTTCCATATTTTTTTTCTCGTTTTAACTTTTCTGGTCACCATTTTTAAACTTTGACCATAAATTACGAAAAAATATGTTAAATTGTGATATAAATTCAACATCAATATATTCATTCTGAAACATAGTTTTGAAATTTTATATTCGTATAATCTATATTTATATATTAATAGAGATATTAATAATCAAAATGTTGTATCAAGGCACGTAAAAGTCAAATGAGAAGAAAGATACAAAAGGAGTATTTGAGCTATATTAAAGCACTGAAAATAATCATGAAGCTTCGGGGCTTCAAAAATTCTCTCCCTGTCACGTCAGCTTTAACTTACCTCATAGTTTTACTGGAAATGAGTTTGAAGCCACGGAGCTTCGAACAAGGCTTCAAACCTTTATTTTTACATTTTGAATACACATTTTGTAAAATTAAATTAATATGATTTTGTTAATTAATTGAATTTAAACGAAGATAATTCATTAAATAAAAAATTACATTAAAAAAATTACATTTATAAAATAAAGATTTGAATAATAACAACATAAATAAAAAATTAAAAATGACACTACATTACGAAGAAATTACTGATTATTTGAGTGACTAAAAATGTGTTCAATCTAATCTGCCGTTTGTGCATTGTGAATCTCTCGGTTTCAAATTTCTTTGTGGTTTCTTCATTTCTTTTATTTGCCGATTTCTTTGTACGTAGGCACCTTCTCGTCCGGGTTGTAACGACAAATTCCAAACTTGATGTCCTCTATGATCATATTATGAAAAATAATATATGCGTACATGATAGATCATACGTCAATTGTAGGTCTAGCGTTTAAGACTCATTGATTCGGAGAGGAACTTCACAATTGTGGAATAATCTGGATATATTTTATCGGCAAGATAATATTCACACTTGCAAAGCGTCTCTCTAAGCTCAGAAAACGATGTGGGTGCAACGTCATTAACCCAATCGTAAAAAACAGACGATTGATCAAAAATATTAATGTCGTTGTTCGAGCCCGCAACCCCAAAAAAACATTCCAAAACCACAAGTCATTTGAAGCCATAGCTTTGAGCATTATAGTAGGCTTGAGATGAAGATCCTGAGAGAACTGACTATGCCACACAGTCGAAAATTTTTTTCATTCCCAATGCGTGCAATCAATGCTCCCAAGCATGCCGACAAAGTCGTATTCAATGGCATGCCTCGCCTGTAACTGCTCAATGTCGCTCGCTGTAGGCATACATAAATATCTCTTATGATAAAATCGAATAATAGGTTTAGAAAATTTATAAACACATGGCCTGATGTTCCAAACTGACATCTTCAAGTATTCGTCAAACATATCACTAGCTGTCCCATACGCTATCTAACGAAACCGACATCTTCAAGTATTCGTCGAACATATCACTAGCTGTCCCATACGCTATCTACCGAAGCTCGGTGGTGCACTTCTGGACACTGCTAAAACTGCGTTGGCCTCTCGCATCAAAGCGTTGGGCGAACCAAGACGCCTCACATTCAATATCGACGAGTATGCGTAAAAATAAAGAACGAGTATGCATAAAAACAAAGAACAACTCATTCAAATACGAGTACTTAAATCCTCCGGTGTGAAAACACACGGAGTATTGAAGTAGTTGTTGAGCAGTGATTCGTGTGCAGCCGTCCGATCACGGTTTAAACGATCACGTTGAATCGAGCGTTGGGACGGTTTTGCTTGCTCTTGTTGGCCTTGTTGCCACCATTGGTAACAACCCGTCGCAAAACAACGAAAAATTAGACATTTTCTCTCATCGTCAGATAAAGATGATCCTATTTTTTGAGTGTTTTGTTGAGAGAATTAAAAGAAATACTTTGTAGAATATATTTTGAAAAAATTATAGAGAGAATAAGAATATGTTGTGTGTGTTTGTTTCGCTAAAAATAAGGGGTATTTATAGTATTATTAAAAATAATTTTTTTTTAAAATTTTGCCCAACGACTTAATTTGGACCGTTGGGAGGGGTCGCAAAGCAGATAAGTACTGTCAGAAGAGAAGAGGGGGACAATGTTTAACGTTCTTCCGACCGTGTTTGACGCGGTGGGCTTAACTGTTAAGCCTATTTCTGGTGCTATTATCCCAAGTATAGAATATTGCATAGAGGAACAAAATTGCTCATAAGACTTTGGTAAATGTAGTTAGCAATGGAGGTTAATGTACAATTTTGTCTTTGTGTACAATTTTTTTGGTCAAACAAAATATAAGTACGGGGAGGCTTTTAATATGCTTTCCCTTCTTACGATCCCCTTCGGGTTCCTAACGCTGACTTTCGTCTCGAATCTCATCCGTTGATACGAAATCCAACGGTTAAAAAGTGAGTCGACGAGGGGCACCCGGATTCATCCCTTTTTACAAATCTCACTGTTCCCCAGCTTTCAACTCCTCTGGGAACGAAGAATGCGCTATCAAGAATCAAACCAAATCCAGTAAAACAGCCTTCTTTGCAGATTCAGAGCGCAGTCTTCTCCAGCTTCCCATTGATTTTACCAAACAAAATCTCTTTCTTTCTTCTTTCTTCTTTCTTCTTTCTTCTTCTTCTTCTTCGAAGAAGTCAGGATTAGTCCTTCCCGCGCCGGTTTCCGTTTTCATCTCTAAGCATCCGCGCGCAGTTGTTCATTTGCAGGGTGCAGCTTGATCTGAGCTTGGAAGGGCGCGTTTCCCTGTTTGAGCTGCTCAAATTCCAATTCCCGGAGAGCTTGGAGAGTTAATTAGGGTTTCTGTGATCCGTCAATTGTAGAATTTGATGGTTGACGAGTCTTGCCTGAGATACTGTAACTTTCGTATCTGAGCAGGTCGTTTGAGAGGGCAGGTAGGTTGTAGGGGCGGTAGTTGAAGTTGGACATGGGATTTACCCTGATGTTCGTTTTACTCCCCAGTCCTGATTGAAGGAAAAGGTAGGGTTTTGGATTGGAGGGGATTGAATTTGCGACGTTTGTTGTTGTTTTTGGCTGTGGAGTAGGGAAATATATTTTTAGGTGCTTGTATATATGTACCTATAGAAAGAAGGTTTTGTAGTTTGTTGCTGCTGTTGTTGTACGATTAGCTGGGCGAGATAGGGAAATAGGTAGAGAAAAGAAATGTTTTATTCACAGTTTATACTGGCAAAGAAGGGGCCTTTAGGCACCATATGGATAGCTGCTCATCTGGAGAGAAAGCTGCGAAAGAATCAGGTTGCTGATACTGATATTGGGGTCTCTGTAGGTCAGTTTCCCTTTCATGTAGTTTCTTCAGAGAAAGTATATTAGGAAAGGTGTTGATTGTTGTGAATGCTTAATTGGCATTTTAAGTGTGCTCTACAGATGAATTAACACGTTCACCCATCAATAGGAAATTCCATTTATTGACTTTGTTGACTCTAGTGTAGTTAATGCTTATTCAATGACATTTAGAGCAGGGATTGGGTGTTGACATGCATCACTGTATTTTCAAGTCTGTTTTTCCTATTTTGGCTTCACCTTCATTTGTTTTATCAAGTAGCAAGGAAAAATGAGTTTTTTGTTGTTGTTTGGGAATCTAGTCTTTCTGTTTTAGGTTTACATTTGGTTTCATTTTGCTGAAATATAGCTCCATGCATTTATGTAGTCGGTGCATTTATTCTGAAATTATTGTGTTACTTGCATTGGCTGATCCATGATAAGGTTTTATCCATAAGACTGACTCAAGCTGTTAATGCTCAACAGACTCAATTCTTTTTCCTGATGTTCCAATCGCTCTCCGTTTGTCTAGCCATCTTCTGCTTGGTGTTGTGAGGATATACTCTAGAAAGGTGAACTACCTTTTTGATGATTGTAGTGAGGCTTTGCTCAAGGTCAAACAAGCTTTCCGCTCAACTGCTGTGGATTTACCCCCAGAAGAGTCTAAGGCACCATACCATTCTATCACGTTGCCCGAGACCTTTGAACTTGATGATTTTGAGCTTCCCGACAATGACATTATTCAGGGGTTGGTTTCGGAATACTCGTCTTTCCATGAAAGTATTAGCTTTAGTGAAACTTGTGGAATTCACAAAAATCAGCCAAGTCTATGCGTTGAATGTTACTCTAGATGTCTTCAGTATATACTAGTGAACTAGGACATCTGTGTTACTACCAGAGATCATAAAACACTCTTTAGCA